GGCAGCGGGCCCGGGGGCTCGGCGCTCGTGCCGTTGGACGGGCGCGCCCCGGCCTGGCCGGCGGTCGAGGCCAGCAGCAGGAGGGTCCCGAGGAGCAGGAGGGCCGGCATGGGGCGTGCAGGAGGTCGGACGAGGCCGCCAGGCTGCGGGGAGGACCAAGGCTGGAGCAAAGGGCAGAAGAGAGATGGCCAGAGGTGGAGAAATGTGGAGATGGATGGGGGAGAGGATGGGGAGGGCAGGCCGAGGAAGGTGGAAGGAAGGAGAGAAACACGCACCAGGAGACAGAAAGGATGGATGGAGCGGAGATGCAGGGGCTCCGAGTTGGCGGTCCCACGGGGCGGTGGACGGGGATAGAGGAGCAATGGAAATATGCCCAGACACGGCCCGAGGTGAATAGAAATGATAACGGGCAGAGAGAGAGAGGAGCGAAGTGAGTGATGAATGGGGGAGAAAAGACCGGGAAGGTCGACGGAGCCATCAGACGGGTGGGTGCGCAGACCGGAGAGAGGTGGACAGAAACCAGGGGAAAGACGTGACGGAGGGAGACGAGACCGTGCAGGCGGGTGAGGGAGAGAGTAGGAGACGGGGTGCGGTGGGAGAGCGCGGACGGGGGAGATGGAGAGGTGGGCGGGGCGGGGGTGGCGCCACGCGGAGAGGAGGCGGGGACGGGTCAGTGGGGGACAGGGGAGGGAATGAAGGGAGACAGACGTGGGGGGGGGCGGGATGGGAGGAGTCCGGAGATGGGGAAGGGGAGAGAGAGAGGTGTGGGTGGGGGGAGGAGGGAGAGAGAGAGAGACGGAGTTGAGAATGTGAGTTCATAGAGCAGGCGGGTGGGAAGAGGCAGCGCGGGGCTTCTCAACGCTTCTATGAAATGGCCACAGTCTGGGCACTCCTGACGCGGGGGGCGGATCGTGCTTTGTTGTGGGGGCCTATCGCGTCGTGACAATAAGATGCCCCCAGGCATGGCCAGAAGTCACCCGGGGGGGGCACAATTGCTCCCCCCCCAGGTTGAGAACCGCTGGTTTAGACCCACATGGTCTTCAGTCCCCCCAAGTGCTTATTTGTCTCTCTGTCTCTCTGTCTCTCTCTCTCTCTCACACACATACACACACACACACACCACACTCTTCCAGTTTCAGGTCTAACACCTCTCCAGGCACAGCCAGAGAGGCAGGGTAGCAATGCCTCATTACCTAAGTCCCCCCGTGCCTCAGTTTCCTCATCTGTAAAATGTGCATTAGGATGGCGATCACCTGGCGGTTGGAAGGGCGAACTGAGTGAGTGTGTGTGAAGAGCTCAGTAGGTGCCTGGCCTCGTGCAGGTGCCACATGGGTATGGAAGGATTTGCTGCGGTTATTTCAGGAGGAGACCCGGGATGAGAAGGGCGATGGAGAAGATAGTGGGAGTCAGGGGCCAGGTGAGGCGGGTCTTCCTGGCTGTTTCTATGGCAACCATAGAACTGAGCACTGAAGATGCAGAGGTGAATAAACCCATGAGGGTCCCTGCCTTCATGGAGTTTACCTTCTAGTGAGGGGAGAGAGCCAGTCCACAGACACGAATCAGTGTGATACATGTTGGAAATTATTATGAAGAAATATTAAAAAGTTATGAAGGAAGCCGTGAAGAAATGACGCAGTAAGAGGAAGGGGGGACGGTGGGTAGGTGGGACTCCTTTAGTAAATATCGTTAGGTATTATTTGCATCAATTGTTCCTTTCCATTGAGTGCATGTGCTTCTGGGGACCACACTGTTATCAACAAAACTGCTGGGGGTGGGGATGGGGAGAGGGTTATGGGGGGCTGAGGCTCCCCAAGCCTCACTCAGCCAGGTCCCCGGGCCCACATGGGGATCCAGCTTTCCTATTTAACTCCACTTGGCCCCTCCCCCGAACTCCCGGCTAGAACACCCCACTCCACCGCCTACTTAACGCCTGTACTTGGTGTTTAACGGGCATCTGAGAAGTGGCTTGGCCCACACTGTGGAAAGCAGTTTGGCAGTTCCTCAAAAGTTAAACATAGAGTTGTCATATGACCCAGCAATTCCACTCCTAGGGATGTGCCCCAAAGAACTGAAAATACGTTCACACAAAACTTACACACAAATGTTCAGAGCAGCACTATTCATGATGTCCCCAGAGTGGAGACCACCTGAATGTCCACCAACGGATGAGTGGATAAACACAGTGTGGTCTGTCCACACAGTGGAATATGATTCAGCCCTGAAAATGAATGAAGCACTGATACATGAATGGACCTCAGAAACGTGACGCTCAGTGAGAGAAGCCAGACACCAAAGGCCACGTATCGTATGAGTCCATTTGTATGAAATGTCCACAGTAGTCAAATCCACAGACAGGAAGCCGGTTGGTGGTTCCCTGGAGCTAGGGGGAGGGGGGAATGGGGAGTGACTGCTATTTGAGGTGATGAAAATGTTCTGGAACTAGATAGCGCTGATGGTTGCACAATATTATGAATATACTAAATGCCATTGAACTGTACACTTAAAATTAGTTAACCGTGTTAACTAATTTTGAAATACACAGTTTATGTGTATTTTTACCATAATTTTAAAAAAACAAATGAAAAATGACCAACATAGGTCAGATGACATCACCCATTCCCCTGTTCAAACCACCCACTGGCTCCCCCTCACACCTAGAATAAAATCCAGACTCTTCTCCCATCCTTCCCTTCTCCACACCTTTCCAGGTCCCATGCCTGAGGGGTCCCCACCTACCTTTTGTCCCCTCCGCCAGGGACCCTCTTCCTGCAGGTCTGGCTTGCCCCTTCCTTTCTTCAACTGCCCCTCACCCGTCCTCTCAGCGAGGCTTCCCCGTCCTGTCTGAAACAGCGCCCCCAGACTCTCGATCTCTCGCAGCTCCTCTCTCCTTGCCGCATGGTCTGTGTACGGACGTAGGGTCTGTTTCCCCCACTAGACTACAAACCCCACGAAGGCTGATGTTTTTGTCTGTCTTGTTCCCTGTTGTATCCACAGCACACATAGTAGGTGTTCAATAAATATTATTGCAGGGATGAATGTTCTCTCTCTGCCTCCCTCTCTCTTTCTCATACGCGTTTCAGATGAGGACACCAAGGTTCTAGGAGGTCCCATCATTTGCTTGAGCTCCATAGTGCCTGAGCAGTGGAGCTAGGCATTGAACTCGAGGCTCTGGGTACCCCCACCCATAGAACATGGATGCCTTTATCCCATGCAGAGAAATGTGGGTTGAGATGCACACAGTCACACCCCTTCCAACAGTGACTCATGCACGTGGCGATGTGGATTCCTTCGTTCATTGAGGGCTGCCACATACGGTTGGGCAGGTTGTGCACTGCACAGGGGGGTCTGGCTGGAATCCAGCTGGGCTCTCCTCCCTAAGGCATGCTGGTGGGGCTGCATCCATCTGCGGGAAGGGGCACCCTTTCCAGACTCACACAAGGGTGCCCAACCATAGACGCTGGGGAGCTGCCAGGGGGCACCTTTGTCGCATCTGCACTAAGACTGCCGTGTGGGCTAGCAGTGTGCCCGCTCAGTCCCCATTCTGGGCCAAGCCTCCACTAGGCTCCCTCTACTAACAGTCCCATCGTCTCCTCCGACTGCACACACCCAGGGAGACACAACTCCAGGCTATTGACAACTCAGGGGTGGGAACAGTGTCATCATCTCCTCAAGCCCAGACACAGCACACATGCACACACGACCCCTCTCCCGATGGAGGCCCCGCAGCCTCCTACCCCTGCTCACATGCCCCACTGCTGGGCAGAACCTACAGGTGGGGCGGGGACACACACCTACAGACACAGTGGCCTATCCAGACCAAGGGTCCAGGGGGACCAGTTCCTCCCTTATCTCACACACAACAGACCTTATATACACACAGTGTGCCAGACACAACACACAAGGACACCCAGTGTCATCCTGGTGGCACACCTGGTCCCAACACACATACGCACAGCTCCACATGAGCACAGCCATGCATTTCTGTGCATGGCTCAGCCCACAGCGCCTAGGCCCAGACACCATCTCAGGCATTGTGACACACTGGGACCAATACGGCCCAGGAAGATGGCTAGGGACCTACCTGCCCAAACCAGCTACACATGGACACACAACCACACACATGACAGCCCACACTCATGCAACTTCGTGGGTGCACACACGTGTGCAAACACACCCTCCCGCAGTGGTGGAGAGTCTGGAAGCAGGCATGTGACACCCCCCACAGCCCCACCCTGCTCTCACACACACAAAGGCACTTCCTCCTCCACAGCTGGAGAGGAAGGAGCCCCAATCTCACCCCTCCTGCACCTCCCATGCCCAGCAGCTCAGAGCCAGAGGTCTGGTTGTGCCCTTTGCCCCAGCCCAGGACCTGAGAGACACAGATGTGGGGACAGAGATCAGGGAACCAGCTTGAGGAGGGGTCCCAGAGCAGGCCCCTGGGTCCCTGGGCTCCTGGAGAACCCCTGTCTCCCCACCTGCTCCCTGCACAGCACTGTGCCCCACCCCCAACCCCTCCATCTCGACAGCTAGGGTGGGGGCCAGGGCTGGGTGGGCTGGATGGGGCCAGGTGAGTTGCCTCCTGAGAAGCCGAGAAGTGGAGAATGAGATGGAGCAGGCCTTGGGGAGAAGGACAGGGAGAGAGCCTTGATGGGGGGCAGAGACCCAGAGAGAGAGGACAGGGATCCAGAGAGAGAGGGGGACAGGGGCCCAGAGAGGGGGGGACAGGGGCCCAGAGAGAGAGGGGGACAGGAGCCCGGGGGGGGGGGGGGACAGGGAACCAGAGAGAGGGGGACAGGG